TGCGTTTACATGGGGTTTCTAGAAGCATAGTGTCGGATCGGGATGTCAAATTTTTGAGTCACTTTTGGAGAGTTTTGTGGGGTAAGTTAGGCACTAAGTTACTATTTTCCACAAGTTGTCACCCACAAATGGATGGGCAAACCGAGGTAGTGAATAGGACTATGATACAATTGTTAAGCACAGTAATCAATAAAAATATGAAGAGTTGGGAGGAGTGTCTATCATTTGTTGAATTTGCATAAAATCGAGCTGTTCACTCTACTACGTCATATTCTCCATTTGAAATTGTATATGGTTTTAATCCACTAAATCTTTTGGATTTAATTCCTTTACTTGTGAATGAACGTGGTAGTTTAGATTACAAAAAGAAGGCGGAATTGGTTAAGTCGCTCCATGAAAAGGTAAAAGCACAAATTGAAAACAAAAGTAAGTTGGTTGCGTCGCAAGCAAACAAAGGTAGGAAGCACGTGACATTCGAGTCAGGAGATCGGGTTTGGATGCACCTTAGGAAGGAGCGGTTTTCGAAGAAAAGGAAGTCTAAGTTGCAACCGAGGGATGATGGTCCTTCAAGTGATTGAAAAGATAAACGACAATGCTTACAAGTTGGACCTTCCAGGTAATGTTTCGACTACTTTTAATGTATCTGATTTCTCTTTGTTTGACCCAAGTTCAGATTCGAGGATGAATCCTTTTGAAAAGGGAGGGGATGATATGATCCAGGAGTCGAGCCCGACGAAGGCGAGTGCGAGACGAGATTCGTTGATAGTCGATGGCGGGCCAATGACGCGATCAAGGGTAAAGCAAGTGAAACAAGCGATGGGATTGCTCGTTCAAGAAACCATTGATGGAACCATGTTCGGGACTCAAAATGGAGCAACTTTCATGTTCGAGTCGAAAGCCGAATCAACTTGAATCAATTTGTTATCAAACGACGAAACCGGAGGCTGAAAACAAGCCTGTGCAACCGCACAGCTAAAACACCATGCGACCGCATGGAGGCATACCGAAACTCAAAATGGATTTTTGGTTGAACCATTCGACCGCATGAAAATACACCATGCGGCTGCATGGTTCAAAATATTTGGCGAATTTTCTAATTTTGACAATTTTCCATAATTTGTTAGTTTTTTATTCTTTTCCATATTTTGGGAATTATGATCTACTTTTGCACGATTTTTACCTAGTTTTTAGGTTTAGTATAAATAGGAGTTTTCATTCAATTGTTAAAAACTTCTGACATTATTGATATTGAATTAAAAGTGAGGCGTATTGTCTTCTCTTCATCGTTCTTCATTGAACAACTTCAAACTTATCAAGTGTTAACTTGTGGCATTCAAACAACCGGATTTAATTCTTAGATTACGTGATCAAGGGGTCTTTCAAGCGTCGTTCTTCTTGGATTTTTTGCTTCGACTTTCTTTTGGGGTTAATCCTAAACTCTTAGATTAATTTGCCTTTCTTGGGTTCGTCAATCTCGTTGTGGGTTTCGTAGTCAACGTTGCTACGGGGTTCGCATCACCCCCACACTCGCAAGTGTTTATAGGTAGACTTTCTTCTTTTCCATAACTTATAAGGGGTCTTTTCCGATTTCTTTCAGGGCACCTTATTTAAAAGGTAATTTGCTGATAACGCAGATTCATCCACATGTTCTAAGGTAACCCTGAGCTTACTAGCATTGCATTCATCATTTCTTTTAAGGTATGATTTTTTCGTTCAACTACACCATTTTGTTACGGTGAATAAGGTGCGGTGATTTCATGTATGATTCCGTGTTGTGCACAGAAATCGGAAAATGGTGCTTCATACTCACCACCTCGATCACTCCGCAGTACCTTAATTTGCTTATTAAATTGAGTTTCAACTTCATTCTTATAGAGAACAAATTTCTCTATAGTTTCATCCTTGCTTTTAAGCAGATACACATAACAGTATTTTGTACCATCGTCGACAAAAGCAATAAAATACTTGTTGCCACCTCATGTTTGTACAAGTTTTAAGTCATATATGTCACTGTGAATTAAATCAAGTGGTTCTGTGTTCCATTCAACTGATTTAAACGATAACTTTGTCAATTTTGTCTCAACATAAGTTTCACACTTATGTTTTGAATCAATGTGGAACTCGGGTATGCAATTCAAGTTAACTAGTCTTCGTAAAGTATCATAATTAACATGTCCTAGTCTACCATGCCACAAATTGGAAGATTCAAGCAAATAAGCAGAAGAATTTGCTTTATTCATTTTTGGTTTCATTACCATTATATTCAGTTTAAACATACCGTCAGAAACATAACATTTTTCGACAAACATTCCACTTTTTGATAGAATGATTTTGTCTGACTCAAATACAATGCAAAACCCATGCTTATTCAAAAGCAATCGGGACACTAAATTATTACGAATTTCCAGCACATATAGCACATTGTTGAGAGTCAGCTCCTTTCCCGAGGTCATCTTTAGAACCACCTTTCCTTGACCCTTGATTTCAGAGGTTGCTGAATTTCTCATGAACAGCTTCTCCCCGTTTTCAATTGCTTCAAATGTAGCAAACAACTCTTTATCAAAGCACACATGTCTTGCAGCACCGGTGTCAATCCATCACTCCTTAAGGTTTGAACCCACCATGTTCACTTTAGAAATGACAGCTGCGAGATTCATTTCTGAGACATCTTGTGCCATGTAGTCAACCATATTTGCTTCTTTCGTCTTCTTCTTTGACATTCTACACTCTGAAGACTTGTGGCCTACTTTGTCACAATTGAAGCTTTTCCCTTGAAATTTCTTCTTAGAAAATTCACCTTTCAGTCCGTGCTTGGTCTTTTTTCCATTGGATGGCCCAAACTTGTTTTTGTAACTCTTACTGCTTTGACCATGCTCCACAACATTGACTTTAGCAAGACCAGGATTGAACCACTTCTTTTCTGAACTTTTGTTGTCTTCTTCAATTCGAAGTCTTACAATAAGTTCTTCAAAGTTCATTTCCTTTCATTTGTGTTTCAAATAGTTTTTGAAATCTTTCCATGTAGGGGGCAATTTTTCAATAATTGCTGCCACTTGAAAGGTTTCACTCAACACCATTCCTTCGACATGAATTTCGTGAAAAATCACTTGGAGTTCTTGCACTTGACTGATAACAGTTTTGGAGTCCACCATCTTATAGTCTAGGAATCTGCCAACTATAAATTTTTTAGCCCCGGCATCCTCAATTTGTATTTTCGGTCTAAAGACTCCCACAACTCCTTAACAGTTTTCATCGTGCTATACACATTGTATAGTGTGTCTGCTAAACTATTCATAATGTAGCTTCGACATAAAAAGTCTGAATGCTTCCAAGCATCAAGTGCACTGACTGCTTGAATATCTCCTTCTCTTTCATTGAGTATAGGAGCAATCTCAGTCAAGAATCTCGCAAGATTCAAGGTGGTCAGGTAAAACAGCATTTTCTGCTGCCACCTCTTGAAATTCAAGCCATTGAATTTCTCTTATTTCTCTCCATAATTAACCGGAACAGTAACCGTTTGGCCAGTTGTTGGAGCCACAGTTTAACTCACAACATGACTAGGCAAGTTAGCCACAGCACAGTTTGGTCCTTGAGCCATAGTAGAGCCTACAACTTCATTTTCAGCAAGAACAGTTTGGGTCACATCCATGTTGGTTAGTTCGACAGCCATTTCTGAAAATGAAACAATTATTAGTCTCCAATAAACAAATAAACTTGTTTACTACCAATACGTATTAGGAAGTTTGTTGTTATATTTAATCGGTAGTGTATGGAGTGAAATCGGGCTCTCATATACCGTATTTGTGTTTTAGACACTGGATTCGCACTTACCATATTTGACAGTACAACTCACCGTATTTGGCAGTATAACTCACTGTATTTGACAGTGCAACTCACTGTATATGACAGTTTACTGTATTTGTAGGCGAAGCTCACCGTATTTGCACAAAATTTGTATAAAGTGTTTTTATTCATACACTAACTAAAATAATACAAATTTTTTCACTTCCAAATAGAAATACCCTATATCTAAAATCTATTTTTCACACATATAACAAATTAGGAAAGAAAATAGTTTATTTTATTTATCTATTTCTAACATAAATTTCAAATACGTTGCAAATTAAATAAATAAATATGCAAATTGCAAACTAAATAAATGGCAGATATAATTTCAACCCGAGGCCTGTGTAAACACAGTTTCCTTAAGACAAATTCGCCCACTCACCGTGGTGCTAAAGGTTTAGTTCGAGTGCCTGTCTCCCAAAATAACGGTAACCAGCAGAATCCGAGCACCGCGATTCTACTCCGGTGAACTGGGCGAGTGTTCGAACAATATCACCTTACTGGAATGAGGCGAAACAAAACAGAAAGTAAGAACAAAACAGAAAACAAGCTGGAAATTGCAGATGAAAATTTCAGTGTATGAACTGCTAGAAATTGAGTGAATTATATGGACTGAATCTGACCATTAGTTTTCTGTATTAACCATTGCAGATTTTGGAGTTACACTTCAGTTTCGACCATTGGAGCTTTAGGAGTTTCAGACACTCAAAAGTTATTTGAAAAAAACCACAAAAAATTGCAAAACGCGGACAATCCAAATTGGTCAATTTTTGCTTTGTTCGATCCGACATTCATGTGCGCCCGCACTCAAGTTCAAGGTCCGATGGCTATTTCTGTCCGTAATTTGTACACCCCCTGCGCGCGTACGTGGAAAGAGCATCTATACTATACATGATCACACAATTCCAATGCATAGCCATTTATAAAGTGGTTTTGATTTCCATGTTTTTTCTATGGGGATAGTTTTCCCACCAACATAAACCATTTTCAATGGTCCACTTTAGACTCAAATTTCTCATTCACCTGAGCTTCATTTTTGGCAAATAAATACATAACTTTGGTATTCTCGCGGAGGAGAACACATATCAACTTTGATATTCCAAATTGGACCAACGAGTCCCACCAAAAATTTTGCCAAAAGTGAGCCAATTCACTCATTTTTCCAACATCTCATCCTCTACAATGAAGAAGACCCACAGGCAGTCGTATAGCATCCGGGTCAGACGAATCAAGTCCCGAAAGTGGCGCCGATTCTCGAGCTGGAGATCAGTTACAGAGACTAGAATGGAGGAGCGCCGGCGGATGTATTGGCAAGCTCCCTGCGTCGAAATAGCGAAATTTGACAGCTGGATTTCCGAGTTTTTGACAGGAATAATATTGGTGCTAGAATCCGGGTAGGTGAAAGCATTTTCGAAGAGCTCAGAAATGCGGTGAAATTTGGAGCGTAAATTGGGGTCGGAAGGGGTTGTAAAAAAGGGGGAGTGTTCATCAATGGGTTCAAGTTTTGGCTCAATTTTTGGTAAGATTCTGGAAGAAGAGGAAGTAGAATCAGGGTACTGATTAAGGTCTTCAAATGGTATTACTGAAGAACCCATTAGCAGGGGCGGATCCAGAGACTTCGGACTGTGGGATCAAAAATAAAAAAAATTTCGAATAACGTATCATTAACAAAAATAAATTCATAGGATTAATGGATTGGAGTGGATAATTAATTGTTATTTGGAACCACAAACCCAAATAATCGTTTCAGCAGCAGAAAATTAAAAAAAAAATGGAAAAAAAAAACTGTGGGGTCATTTGACCCCACATGACCCCATGTGGGTCCGCCCATGCCCATTAGCACTTCTCAATTTTTTGTGTGTGTGTGTGTGAGAGAGAGAGAGATAGTTGATGGTGAGTTACAGTGTCAGAGCTTTGAAAATGGAGGTGGAGCGAGTAGGATTGAGACAGAGACGAGAGACAGACCAATGTAACATGCAAAGTGGGCTTGTTAAGAAGAGCTCAAGATCCCAGAAATTGTGCAAGCGAGGACATAATAATGGGTAAAAATCAATTTTAGTCCCAAATATTAAGGAAAATTTCATAATAGTCACTCAATATTATGGTTAAATTTTCGGGTTAATTACAAAATGTCAACAATCTTTGGACAAAGTAGCAATCATATCACAGACTAATTTTTGTCTTGTAAACAAATTGAGGACCTCTTCATGATTTATGTCAAATTTTGTGTTAATTCAAACAATTGTACTAAATGCATCATTTCCATATAGGGTAAAAATGTCAAGTCACGTGACCCATTAAAATCAATAATAAACAATTATTTGAAAACAACAATATGATAAACAAAATAATTCTATTTCGTCGGGGAAAAAAAAAAGTCTCCCACCTCACTTGACTTATCCTTTAAATTGGACAGAAATTGTCTAAAGGGACTAAGTTTGTCAATTTCTTAAATGTTGAGTTGAAAACTTTACCAAAAACTGTCTAGGACTATATCGATACTTTGGAGAAAGATGGGGGACTAAATTTGAAATTTATCCTTCAATTTTCAGTTAGGTCATTAATGATTTCTTCACATAAATTAATGTCATTTTATATAACACAATTGAATTGCGTAATCATGTTAATAAATTATATTTTAATAACAAGAATTTTAAGTTATTACACGAGTTACATTGTTTACCTAACAAATCGACAAACAAATATTGAAGAGTCTATAGAAGAAAATGATTTTGTCAACTAAAAAAGAGTTATATTTAATAGTAATCATTTGTAATACGCATACTAAATTAAATTGAATTTGAGGTAAAGGGTATGTTCAATAGTAATTATGTGAATCAATTTTTTTTATCATTAGAGAGAAAAGTGGATTTTACATGTAAGTGAAGGAGTCAAAAAAGACGGCTGACTTAGGGAAGTAACGATTAAAAATTTGATTTTTTTGTGGTGAAAAATCAAAACCAAACAGGGGCGAATTTTACCCACTAGTTGGTGCACTATTTGCAAAATTGCCCTTTAATTACTATTTTTTGGATTTTCTTTATTTTCCTTTGACAATCTTTTCTTTAGATTTTGGTAATGTAGTGCTTACTTTTTGATCTTTTACGTGTTAGTACTTAGTACAATACTTAGTATGTTTAGTGTTGGGATTTTGGATGAGTAGCCACCATAAATATGTTAATCATAAAAGTAGAATAATTTTATTTAGCATCAATAATTTTAAAATATAAAAAGCATCGATAGTGTTGAACAAATGAACCGTAATTTTTTATATTTAATTTAAGCTGTAATTTAATGTTATCAGTGTTGTCTCGTAAACTAATGTTAAACAGTGCTAAATGGTGTTACTCATAAAAACATGTTTTAATGTAGTGTTAAATATGCTTGACTAACATTAATAACACAATACAGTTGGCTACCAATGACTTTTGTTTTGATCAGCTACGTTTACCCAAATAATAATAATAATAATAATAATAATAATAATAATAATAATAATAATAATTCACCAAGATCTAGTTGTACTAAAATTTTATTTACCCAACAATATTTAATAAAATAATTAAACTAATAAATTTAATTTACCAAGAAAAATAATAATTAAATCAAGCAAGACTTTGTTGGTTAATTCAATGTGTTTTTTGTGTGTACTTGTACATGGAGATGTGAGTAGAAAATATCGCAATAAATGGAATAAGGAAAGGCTTATAGAAAATTTTTAAATTTTAAATCCGATCTACAAATTTGGTTTCGCTTTCAATGAATTCTTAGAAAGTAGAGAGAAAATTATCAAAGGAGTTGAATAGAACCCAATCTGCATTTGCACTACCATCGAATTGTTGTAATAGCATATTCCGAAGGCATTGAGAAAGCAGGGAGTCATTCCTTATAAGTGACAATACATTGGATGGTAGCTAGCAACAGCATGGCATGACTGAGTAACGTTTAATGATAGGAGGGTTTTTAGCAACGACTTATTCCCGACGATAGTGCTAACAGTGAATGAAATATACTGCGGACTGTTTGTTCCACTTATCCTTATCGCAACTTTAGTTATCAATAAGAATACCTATGCTTGTTAGATCCATCCATCTTAGATAATATGTCGGCCTCCAAAATACTCCGCTCTCAAATGGCTAAACGGGAGAAATAGACGTTTGTTTTAGTCTAACTTAAATCCTTTCATAAGTAGCACAAAGTGCATCCAAAGACTAAACTTGAACTATGGCTTCTCTTGTGTTGCAGTTCGCGCTCGTATGCTTTTCATTCTACTATATAGCACACCATATTTTCTAGAAAAAAAATGACAATGGGTACATCAGAAAAGAATGGGTATGTAACTCTCTAAAGAATGATAAAGCCATCTTGCAAATTCTTCAACTCTGATCCACACTCAATATCGAGCTTCAGAACAACCTTTAAAATAATAATAATAATAAAAAGAATGTGTCTATTAAGTAGATCAAGAAACTTATAACTTTAAAATAAAGGGTTATTCTATGGGTACATTAGGGGGTACAAGGCACAGGCCCCCCTCTAATAGGAGGCCACCAGGTGTCCATTTTGGCCACCCTTATGTACAATATTATGTACCCACAGAATAATTCTAAAATAAAATCAATTCAAAAAAGGATGCACACGAAAAACGGACCCCCTTATGTACAAATTATGTACTCATAGAATAATTCTAAAACAAAACCAATTCAAAAAAAGTAATACTATTCGTAGTCGTTCACTGCGATAGTCGCCCTTCATGACATACACATGACAAGTGATTATTTGATGCATTAATATGATAGTTTTATTTATTTATTAATGCATCAAATAACCACCTGCCATGTATATGCCATGTAGAGCGACTGTCGCAGTGCGCGACTGCAAATAGTATTATTCATTCAAAAAAGGATACACACGGAATCCGAAATTAGCCAACCCCATACCGATATGGGATAAGGCATAGTTAAGTTTATTGCAAAAAAAGGGCAATCATTAGTTATGCACAAATCTTTTGATATCCGTCAACTAACTCCTTTCCGTGCTAATTATCACATTGTGTAATCCCATTCTAATTACAATTCTACGGCATGCCCCTCGATACCAGTTCTTGGAGTCATCTCAGTATTCTTCCCAAAAAATCCAGGAAAAATCATAGTTACCCCCCATACTTGCAGGCTTCTTGAGCATCTTTCCTGTTCTCTCACCGCCATTTCTAGAATGGGCATAGATACCTCAATATCTCCCCTTCCCAGTACAATCTCTTTCTTATACCTGGACGTAAGCAACTCCATCTTCTCAAGCTCCCACCTCGACTGCCGGACTTCAGCACCACTACTTCACCAATTTGACCCAGTGAAGTATTGAATCCAATGGAGAAGAGAAATTGAATACTGAAAAGTGCATAAAGTTTGTACCTTTAATAAAAAATTGAACAGAAAAACCAAAAAATAGATCAAAATGAAGAGCAATACATAAATTTAGTGCAACCTCGAACCAAAACCGAAAGCAATTTGGTGAAATAAGCATTTACTTAAACAAAGCACAGAAAACAATTGTCCTTATTTCTTTTTTTTTTTTTTTGGGAAAACACAAAAAAAAATAAAAAATAAAATCAAAATCCATCCCAAATGAAGGAAAGGAACACAAAGCTTGCAACAAGAAAAATAGATAAGAAAAGTACCAAGTGTTAAATATCCCAGAAGGTATTTTATATTTTTTTTATTTTATTTATTTATTATTATTATTATTTTTTTTTTTTGGGTCAAAATCTCGAAGAAGCAATGGAGGCCATAGGACAGCTTGCAGTAGTGATAATATATAAAGTCGCGCTGCACTAAAATTTGCACCATTTTGTATCAAATCAAAATTTGTCTTCAATCATTGCACAAAAACTTACACCAAATGAATAATATTTTATTATTTTATTCATTCTTCCGATTTTTGACAATGTATTTATTTAAAAAATTGTTTATTTATTTATTTTATAACTATATCAATTACTAAATCATAACTTCGTTAAATTAACAAATATATTGAATTATTATTAATTACTAAATTATTCACATGTTTTATATATTATGTTAAATTGACAAAAATAATTGATTATATTATTAATTTATTATAAAAAATTACATCAAATTTACAAAAATAATTGTTAAATTAAAAAATCCTTAATTATTATTAATTACTAAATTATTCACATGTTTTATATATTATGTTAAATTGACAAAAATAATTGATTATATTATTAATTTATTATAAAAAATTACATCAAATTTACAAAAATAATTGTTAAATTAAAAAATCCTTAATTATTATTAATTATATTACTGAAAATAATAAACTTTAATAATATATTTAACAATGTAATCAATTATTATTATTTAATATTATTATAGGATGAAAATTACACAAATATGTTTAACCATTACCTTTGAAAATTGAAAAATGAATGACAAAACGGACATTGCACCATTTGGTGAAAAAGTGGTGCAACTGTTCATGTTGCACAATGGTTGGAGGGAGGTTTGCACCAAATTTTGGTGCAATAGGACACCCATTGGATGTGACCTCAATCAAAAGATTGGGAATATCTAAG